ACACAAGTTACTATAATAGTATATAAAATGTTAATAATTTATGTTATTTGAAATTAACAACTATCGTTTTGCAAAACAAAAGATAATGATTTTAATTGAAAATAATTTCATTTATCATTCCTAATTGTATCGTTTGTATTCCAATTGTTTTCACTCTGAAGATAACTTCATTTGACAATTTCCAAATATGAGATATGTGTGTAATCAAGTGTCCGACTGTATATATTTTGCCGAGTTAATTTAAACCACTCTCATTGTCACTTGAAATTTTCGAAAAAATTGTGAAAATAATTTTATTAAAATTTAAATAACAGGAAAACGATGTCAAGTTTATTAAATTGAGAAAATATAATTGATTGAAAAAATGCTCGGTATAATATTATTCTTTGTTTGAACCCAAAAATAAAAATAATTTGAATCATTCGCTATTTTCCCAATTAAATTATCTTTCATTTGCTTTCGTTATAAATTTTTTAACTTTTATTGATTAAATGCTTTGAAAATATACTTTATTTAGATTACCATTTTTGCTGTTGTCGTCTGACCCAAGCAAAACCTCTACTACTGTGAGACTTGCATGAAACGAGAATAATAATTTATCTAACTGAAATTGAATTTTTAATACAGATTGCTACTACTAATCAGATTTTTAGAACTTGATGAAAAATTCTCGGGTAGTTTCTACAGTTATGGTCACAAGTCTACATGTAAAATAATAAAGGAGAAAGCAGAAAAGGGACATGTTCTGTTAAAATCGATTTGCAATTTGGTCGCGAGCGAGAGTCACATTCGACTCCATGCTCTATTAATCGAATTGACGAGAGCAACAAAAAAAAGTAAACCTCGTTCTTTCACCCTTGATAAAAACAAAAAAAAACCCTCTCATACGCTCGTTTCACGTGTTTCATTGAAACGGAGAGATGTCAAGTATTTTGATACAATAGATGAATGAAATTTATATAGAAAATAGATTGAGCTCGGAATCAAACAAAAGAAGTTTTTATTCTTCTCCCTCCACCGCGTTTTTTTCTTTACTGAATTTTTAATTTTCAGTTTTTCGAGCTCACGCTTTCATCATAAACAGAAATGAAATTTATTTCGTCACCGATTGCGAAGAATATAAAAATTAATTTTGTTAAAAAAAATTAAAGTAAAAATTTACCACTTTCTTATTATTAATACTTATTTCTTTATTTATCTTATGAATAAAAAATATTTGTTTTACATCTTAATATTTCTTGCAGTTCTTGTTATTATTTGTGATTAGTTTTCTTATTTAAAAATGAAATTTTCTTTTACTTGATAAAGAGAAATAAAGAGAAAATGTTATAGATATTTTTGACGACAAATGAATATAAAATTGAGAAAAGAGGATATAGGATTTATTCAAGTCTTCTTTTCTTAATTTTTCCTGAATATTGTCGCCGTTGAAGCAAGATGCTCAGAAAAATTAAGCTATATTCTCTGATGCTCTGAGCAATGAAATTGATGAAAATGGAAGTGTGCCGTGAAGCAAAAAATTCGCGAGATGGCAGCTTAACTGAAAGACAAACTACAAACATCTTTCTTGACTTTTATATTCTTGAAACAAATGAATTTTCGTATTAATATCACGAGGATATTTCATACTCGAGTGATAATTTCAAAAAATTTTATTCAAAAGAGCCTTTCATTTTCCGTGACAGTAAATGTCTTTTTAAACTTTTCATATTTTTCCCTTTATTATTTATTACTCTTTGTTGCTTTTAATTTTTATGATTTTATTATAATTTTTTTAATCTCATTTTTATCTTTTATAATTATTTTTATACTACCATATATTTATTATTTTTTTAAATTTTATGTAAATTTTATTAAAATAATAGGTATGTGAAAATAGAAAAATAAATTTTTTGTTATATTTAGTGGGTATTAAAGTTTTGCAACTTGGTAAAGTTGTCTTCGTTAAAATAAAGATTATTCTTTTTTAAAACAAGAAGAATGCAGCAAAAAGATATTGAAAACTCCCTTTAGAAATGAGTAAGTCTAGTAAACTCTCGTCTTCAAATACTTGATTAAAAGATACAAAGGGGAGTTAAAACTTGATAAAAAAGTGACTTCAACAGACCTAAGTTTCATCGACATTCGCTGCTTCCAAAGTTTTATTGAAAATCTAACAACCCATTCTCAAAGTCGTAAAAAAGTCTTAAAAGAATCGTACCTTCAAGAAACTTTTTCCATATTACAAATCTATTTTCGATTAAGTTGAAATGAATGTTGATCTTCAATGTTCCTGCACTAGGAAATTCCATTTTTATTTTTACATATTTACCTTTTTTAGGTAAATTTTATGAAAATAGGTCTTTGTAGATTAATTAACATATAATTTCTAATTACTGTTTGCATAATATTCACGTATTCAGCGCAAATGAACACACAGATTTCATGAAATAAAATTCATGGTGTGAGATGAGCCAGTTGCAATTTCGCAATTTCTCGCCATCTTCCCAGTTCGCGATTGCTACCGCTGTCAACCGGAAATTAGAAATTGCGTAATTCATCGAGCCCGGGTTTTAGGTGCATGTTCCACCAAACCGCCGTCGCTCGCACAAATCATCGGGTTTAACCGTGAGCGTATGAGATTCTGCTTTATCCTGATTATTATTTTCCCCCCCTCTCTCTCTCTCTCACTCTACCATTCGCTAATTTTTTATGCGACTTTGCATGAATGTCATAAAATTTCCCACGAAATATAATTTCATTTTGTGATGAGATATTAATAAAAGAATAATTAAATATCCAGTGGACTATAAGTACGACTGGCATAAAATTGAACCAATGTTGAAAATTTTACCAATATATTTATCCATTAGTAATTAAAGTTCTATAATATATTGGAATCCTGGACGAAACAATATTTATAATAGTTGTAATTTTATTATAATTATATTCTCTAAATTTTAATTAGTTAAAAATAACTGTTGTAAAAAGTCTAAATAGTAAATATGTTGAAAATGTAAAAACAGTAAAATAGAGAAAATATAAATAAAGACTAACATTAAAAGAAAAATTGAGAAAATATCAGGAAAATATACAGTAGAAATAAAGTGAAAAAATTTGGTAGTAAAATTGAATTAAGACAGATGAGCTTTATAAAAAAGTCTACTCTCGAATTTGAGATTACCTGCGTCGTTAAGAAGTTAGATAAGTTTTGTAGTTTCGTTTCCAAATCCAACTGACTTGACTTTTACGAGACCAATGATCCCCCTAGAGCCGGGAAAGTCGCTTGCGTCCTTCAAGAGTAAAAAGCTATCGATCTTTTCCTTGCGATGTGTCAGTCGAGTTGACGTTTGACACTCTCTCTCTCTCTTTCTCTCTTTCTGTCTTTCTCTCTTCTTCAGCTCTAGATATTTTCCACATTTTGATGATTTGAGGTGAAAACTTTCTAATGAAGTGGACACAACATATTGACAAGCTCACTTTTCTGCGAAACTTGCTTCAGAGTTTCGTTTACCAATTATTACATGCGCACATTACAAGTTCAACATTTTTTCAAGGATATTCAATTAAAGAATTTAAAAAAGTGATTTTTACTACTTATATTTAATTATACAAATTTAAAGTCTTTTGTCTGACTATTACTGTCTTCTACTACTATATATGAATGTAAAATTACAGCAAATAAAAACTGTTCGTCTGACTACAGCTACTTTGTACTACTGATATTATTATTACCAACCAAATTTATAATAACATTTGTCTAAGTATGTACCAAGATTGACTTTTACTACTGATTCCAATTTTATTTGTCTTGTCTGACTAAAACTGTCTTTTTCTACTTATATATTGAGCAAACAAATGTAAAAAATTTTGCTTGATAGACTAATGTAAATTGTTTTACATTAATGTTTATTTTATTATATTTTCGCTGCACAATGTTATCTCAATATTAATGGTAATTAATTATAATAATTTTTGCAGTGAAAATTTTATTTTCTTATAAAAGTCATTTTGTTTTTTTATCTAGAGGTTTTATTAATTTTTTTTCCTAGAACATTGCATAATGAGCTTTGGTCCGCGAGACAGGAATGCAAAATGAGAGTAGAATATTTGAAACTCGACTAAAATTGCTTCTTACCTTAAATTCAATTTGTTTTAAATTCGATCAAACGTTATCTTTCGAATATAAAGCTAAAAATACATTTACCGAAATAATTCGCATTTGAGTAAAATTATGATAAATTCCAAATTAATTCTTGGTAAATTTTATAATAATGCAATTAAGCGCAAGTTTATTTGGTTTTTTGTGACAATTTGAAAAAATAGTTATAATAAAAAAACAAAAATAATGAATAGAAAAAAATTTGTCGCTTTTGGAAAATGAGTAAAACCGTATTTCGAAGAAAGGAAAATTTAATATTGAGATACTGTATAAACTAGATGGAATTTTTTAAATTGTAAGATGATATCGGGAAAATCGATTCTCGTTACCAAGTGCAACTTGGAACAGAAATAATTCATCTAATGAATTATTTAGTGGTGGCTCGTCCCTTCCCGGCTTCTGTGGCTTAAAATCCGATTTGACGCGACCAAAACGTACATATGTACGGCAAACCGAGAATATTCAGCGGTCTTGGTTATTATAGAGAAATCTTTCTGAGCCACAAATGAGAAATATTATCTCTCCGCTTGTATATATATATAAACGTGAACGCGCGAACAAGAAATCAGAATATTTTTCAATTTGTTCGAGATAATGACTTTTGCCCTATATTATAGGGCTGAATAAAAATACAGAAAAGAATATTTTTTAGTTTGCTTTGTTCGCATATTTTCAGGGGGTGAATATTCAATACAGAATTTAACTTTTTTCCAAAAAATGATTGTATATTACCTTTACATTCGCAAAGTAGAGTCACTACTTATTGCTATTAATCGATAATGTATCGAATGAAATGGAAATCTATACATTAAATGCGGAATTGTTTAATTATAAAATTGAAAAAACAATTTCATTTCAGCATGGAGTTGGACCGTAAATGGACAGCAGGGGCCGGTCTTTGTCCTGGAGCCCCAGAGCACTCTTATCTTCTCCAACACAACTGGATCGCAATTGAGTTGTTCGGCTCATGGGAGTCCGACTCCTGATGTCGTCTGGATAACCAGTTCAGATCACAGATCGGTCAGTGCAGTTCCAGGTCTACGGTGAGTTTTTTATTTTTTTTTAACTTTTCTCTCCGCTTGCACTCAGGTCTCGAATATTTCTTTAAAATTCAGAAATTTAATTTCTAATATAAATTTAAAAATAAATATAAATCAAGAAATTTTTGTGTGAAATAGCTCTCATAATGTAGAAGCCTCGAAGCAGAAAATGAGTACTTGAAGGTGAAAAAGAAATTTTATCCCCTGGTCGGTTATATTTACACTATTTTAAAGCTGTGGTTGTGCCGGACCAAGTCACAGATTTAATTCAATTCTACTTATAAATAAATAAGATTTGGAATTTTTTAAGGCAGTGAAATTATATTTGAAATACTTAAAATGATTCATACAGTTTATTTAAAATGCAGCAATATTTTACTGCTCAAAAAGAATATTAAATTACTTTTTGAAAATATTTTCTCGTGCCCTTTGGTAAAAAATACCAAGTAGCTCTTTTGAAAAGAAAATATTAAGAAGACTTGATTCTTTCATTAAATTAAAAAAATTTTTATTCATGAAAGAAAGAACAACAAATTTAAAAAAAATAATATTTGTTATTTATAGAGGAAAATTAATACTTTTAGATATTAAAATATTCCATGAAATAATGGTTTAAAGAAATGAATCTTATTGGTGCTAATGCTAAGTCTGTAAGACATGATGTTTTCAAGTTAAAAAAAGAAAAGTGAATGGAATTCTTGGTAAGTTTATTCATTGAGAGCTGCGAAAGCAAAGATATAGAGATCCCGTTTTAGACTTCCTCTTTCGTTTTAGTTGTCCCAGAAAGATGCAAGGACATCTGAGGTCGGAAGTTCGTTGGAGCACTGCCGGCAGTTGAACCACTGCACCTGGAAAAACCATTTCCTCCCGTTAATCGAAACGCTTCTTACTCTCTCTCCCTCTCTCTCCCTCTCTATCACTCACTTACTCACTCTCTCCTCTGCCCGAGAGTTTTACTTTATTTTTGTCTTTACTACTTTTCCTCGGTATTGAGTTTTATCACTCGAAAAGTCATAAACCTTATCGTGCTCTAGATGGGAATAAATTTTTTTTAAATTGGCAACAATTATTCAGGGATTTTAAGTTGGCGTTTTCTCTCTCTTCTATTTTTTTTGCTCTCTTTATAATGCACGACGTAATCATTTTACTGTACAGTTAATTAATGATATAGTATTTAAATGTCTAAGTTACTGTTAATTAAAGTTGTAGGAGTTAATTTATTAAGGCGAGTAGTTTCAATAAATTGCAAAGCGTTCATGCAAGAATTATTTCGACCAATAAAATCGTTATTTAAACCAATAAAATATCCTCACTGAAGTTACACTGAATTATTTACCAAATGTTTTTTGACCTACATACAAGACTGATAATTATTTCTGGTAAATAAAATATTAAGTGGAAAACTGTAAATTCGCTTTTAAGTAAAAATAAATAAATTTTAAATGAAATTTCTACTTGGCTCTATTTATTTATTTTTACTTTGAATCGAATTAAAACATTAAAATTAAACTATAAAGGAATTTACAAGAATTTGTCAGACTGAAAACGACTTCTACTACTTGAACTAAAACAAAATGTATTTTAGTGCCTTGTCTGACTATTATACTTTCTTCTACTGCTGTCATTGTGCAAATTTTGAAAAACGAAAAAAGTTACTAAAAGTTAAAAAAGAAATTCAATATATTCTACTTTTTTCCCCTTTTTCTTATTTCATTCATCAGAGAATTATAAAAATTTATATCATATCTTTTATTTGAAAAGAAACTCAAGGCGACCTCGTGTAATATATGTATATAACTGTGGCCTCTTATGAGACCAAAAGCCTAGGCAATTTTGAGCAGGTTTCACAGTCGTTAATCTCTCGTATCACATCAGACACTGCTATATTCGTTTGTGTGTATGAGTTTTCCGCACGTAAGTAGAAAATCCACATACACACACACACACACACTTAAAAATATGGTATTTGTGAGAGTGGACACATTTGAAACGTGCACACTTGGCGGACACGGCGGACACCTTTTCTTGGCTTGCTGAGACAAACATGGCTCCCCTTCATATCCTCGTGCAATTCTTTCCCGTCTCTACCTCCTGTCAAGTGCGAACTCTCAGTGTGAGTAAAGTTTTCTATTTTCTCTCATTACCTGACATTCATTAAAGAAAATGAAAAAGTACTTGTTTAATAAATACTATTAAAATAATAATAAATCAAAACCAAACAGTTCTCAACAAAACAATCCTTTAGATAGCTTTGCAGGTTATTTATTTAATCCATTTTTATGTTAAAAGTTAAAATAGTACTCTAACATTTATTACAATTATTTTCTTATACATAATAATAAATTAACGTCTGATGAGAAATTTGAAAATAATTAACTAATAATTACAAATTTCATTTACACGGAGAGAAAAAAAAGAGAGCCGTTTGATTTGGCAAGAGAGCGCTGTTTTCCCTTTATAAAGCACAGCAGTAGCGCCGCAAACGTCGAACGGTTATACTTTTTGAGGAGTATCGGTTCTCTTCTCCACACAAATAGAGCCGCTTACTTTCCAAAAAGTGTACCCGCTTTCCCCAAAAAGGAGAACCGTTCTCCCCTCGAGGGTAAGCAGCGTGCTTAACCTCAAGTTGAACGGCTGTTTCGCATTTAACGCAACCGCTCTACCGACAGGTAGAGCCGTTTACTTTTTTTCTCTCCGTGCAAGTTTTCTAAAATTGAACCTTGGGAATTGTCCCAATATTGGCTCCAGACTCACAACTAATTTTTGTGTATTTCCAGACCTTGGCGAGAAAAGTTTGTCCAATATTTAACATATCGTCAACCATTGACAATTTCCCACTGAAATATCGCATTTAATCCATCTGGATCTCCGAAGTTTTCCACCAGAGAATGATGGCCAATTTTCTTTTCAATCCAGATAGAGAAAGTCCAATAGTTCCGTCAAAATCGAATTCTCTATTCTGCTTTCTTAGCTGGTTCCTTATTCTATTTTCCAAAATAGATTTCTTTCAAATTTTATTAAACTTACATATACTACAGAGTTGTGTATATATATATATATATATATATAAAAGATGCAGCAGGAATTTATTGATCTCGCAAAAATTGTAAGCTCTGGGATTTTTATGTTTTGACATTTCACGTGAATTGAGAATATGAACCAAAAATATTTCTTCGAAACATTCTTTCTTTATTTGTGTACAGAATGAAACGAATTAGATATTTTCAAAAATGAAATATTTTTTAATTACTGGACTACAAATTAATTAAAGGCAGTAAAAATTTTGTGCGAAAGTGTGATTTTTCGAGAGCAGCAATCACTCGAGAAAAATCATTCTTTCACCACGAGTTGTGCACTACGTTTTCTCCAACGTCTTGCGAGGAAAGGTTTCTTCGTGAGTTTCGTATAATTTTAATTTAACGTGTGCTTATGTTTAATATAATAAAAGACGAATGTTTTGAGTGGAGAAGAAGTTAGATACAAAATAAATCTCGGTCAAAGAACAAGAAAAAAGAATAAATTCATGATTTACTTTCGCCACGCTCTTCAGAGCAGTTGAGAAAAGTTCTACTTTCGCCACACTTTTCTACCAAGAAAAGTACTCCTTTCAGAGCAAGTGTTTGAGAAAAATTTGTTTTCGTTTTAATATTGAAAAATATTGTTTCTAAATTAATAAGAGAATTTTTACGTCAAATATACTGATAAATTAATAATTCCGCAGATTTTTGTTGAAAAATGAAAACTTGATGAATTCGCGATATATATGAACTATGAAGGAATGAAAAAAATATAAATGGGAATAAAATGAAATTTGGGTGTACATAAAAATAAAGGAAAATTGAAATGACATTCATTTCTAGAATGCACAGGAAGTCAGGTCACTTTAATATTGAAAATAAAGCCCAGTCTTTTCATAGAAACAAAAGCACTCTTTCACTAATGTCCGAGTTTTTCAGCTATAGACAAACACACGTACACACTACATTCGGTCTTTAATCTCCGTTCTTTTGAAATTCGATCATCGCTCGCAGGAGACAAAATCTTTATGGTGAAATTTTAATTTTTTTTCCAGCAGTGCTTTTTTGAAATATAAAAAAATCACTTTGTCGCGTATATATGTGATTTCAAAGTATAGAAAAAGAAGGGAGAAAAAAAATTGGAAATCCTCTAGTCGGCCACAAGTTCTTGTATTTTTCATTGGTACGTGCGAGAATGATAAGAAGAGAGAAATCGATGCGAATGACCATCGACTATCTAATACGTGTCTGTCGGAAGATAAATGACGTTTGACCACCCGTCACGTTGAGAAAAGAGATCATTAGTCTTGTGTGAGTAACTCAAACTCTTTTCACACCTCAACTAAAAGACTTTTTCTTCTTTTTTCCCCTTCTTTTTCTCTACCGCTCATGAAAGGCAAAAAAAAAATTTAATTCCATTCACTTCATTTTTCCTGATATAAAAAGAATTCTGTTGATACGAAATGAAAGATTTCAAATGAAATAAGTAATGTCCATTAGGTCCATTATTAAGCAAAATATTTGCAATATTACCTTGATTTACAAAAAGAAATATTTAAATGTTATCTGTTGAAAGGTCAAGAGTTAAACATAGAGAGAGAGAGAGAGAGAGAGAGAGAGAGAGAGAGAGAGAGAGAGAATTGAAAAATATTTATTCCATTAAAAAAATAAAACTATAGTGTTCCAAATAGCACTCCACTCTTTCAACTAGAAAATATATTATGGTGTCGTAAAAATCCATCTGTATAACGTGATACCGTGCATCATATATTACTTTACTCAGAGGTTCTCGTTATTTTCGCTTTATTCCCTGCCATGTGATAATTGATATTCTTTTTTCTGTTTTCAACTATACCTTCCCATCAAATCAATATTAATTTCAAATTGATGCCCAGTGTCTGCTTTTACGCTTTCGTATCGATTACTCATTAATTAATCTTTTCGTCAAAAGGATTTTTTATTACAGTTCAATGTAAACAAAGTCGAGTCAAATTTATCGTTGGCTGTAAAACCTAAATTGTGAAAATTCAACACTATTATATTGTTACAATAGTAATAATAATAATAATAATTTGTCTGACTAAAATTGAATAAAATTCGCAATCTCTTTTGACAGACTGTAACTAACTTTTGTTGTAGTGCTAATTAAATGAGAGTAAAATAAATAATGGTAATAATTAGCATAATAGCAAATAAGAAAATAATTGTTTTATTTAATTTATAGGTACTATTTTCTTAATTATATTTTTTACTAGTTGAAAATAAATTTATAAAATCGAGAAACAATTGCCTCTTGAAAAATATAATTTCACTAATAAAATATGTCCGCCGAATTTGAAGAGTATGAAACGTTGGACAATGAGGTCTCGTTATTGCGCTTTCAGAACGGAAAATGTAAAAATGGACACTTTGGAAAGGAAGAGAGAGGAAATAAGCGAAAACTAGAAAGAAGAATGCAAGAACACAATGAACCTGATAGAATTCTATACATATTGCAATGCATATAGTACTCGACTTTCTCTCTCTCTCTTTTCATTTTTTTTCGTTTTCTATTATTCCTTTCCACCTGACATTTTTCAAATCTTACATTCTTTATGACGGAAAGGACGTGCTTTTTCTCTTTTTTTCTAATTTTTTATTTGACCCTTTTATACAGACTAAGAGAGCAGGAATACAAATTTATTTCCGGACTTTCAATGGTTTTCTTTTTTTCCTCTTCTGGTACAGTAAGACAAATAATTTTTTTATATAAATGTTTATTTTAAAAAATTAGTCTTTTAAATAAAATTATTGTGCAGCAAATAAAATAGGTATTATAGGATTAATATTCTGACTGTGTGTTTTATTGATTACTATTTATATATTATTCTTATTATTATTAAAGTGTTAAATGCAACACTTTCGGTACTTGGCAAACACTAAAATGATCTTTTTGTGGGATCGTTTCAGGCAGCTTCTCGGAAACGGAACTCTGTCCTTTCCGGCGTTTTTGCCCCAAGATTTCCGAGCCGAAGTTCACAATGCACGCTACAGATGCAGGGCGACAAATTCCATGGGCAGTGTTTTGTCGCGCGAAGTTACTCTTCGAGCCGGTGAGTCAATAATTTAATTAATTTTCTTTTTTCCATTGCGAACTCGATATGTTATTGAATATTAAAAATAGAGGGTTTGTATACATTTATAAATGAAATTTTGTGTGGGATAATTTTAATTGGAATATACCTATATATGGCAGGAGGAGAGGGAAATTCAATTTATATGCATGACGCATTCTGGATTGAATCCTCTTAAAACTTGCCTCAATCGGTCTTTGGGCGGCAACCAACTTAACAACCCTCATCTAGTTGATCCTCTTTGTTACACCTGATTAAACAGCACTATCACAGATCACTCGATTTTACAGTCTGCAAATAGAATCCGATGCCAACCACTCACACTCTCTTTCATTTTTAATTTTAATACATATATAATAATGAAAAGAAATTTAGTTTATCGCACTTCAAAAAGTACATTAACCTCAAGTTTCGCACAGTATCTCTCTGTGAATATCGAATTTCAATAAAAATAATTTAAAAATAGATTCATTTCCGTGTCATTCTATATTCACTACATAATACGAAGAATAATTTTTATGATAAAGTAATTACATGTTTATTATTTAAGCTTTAATTTCCTCCTTTATTTAAATTTACTAAAAGAAATTATAAATAGATTATATGAATATAAATACAAATATAAATCATGCAAGTAAGGACACGATTTCGACAAAATATTTTCAAAATATACTTCAATTTTTAAATCGAAAAATATTTCTCAAACTTTATTTCAATAATTTTCAAATAAAACTTATTTACATATTTAATTAGGTTGAACATGAAAGTAGAAAAGAAATCTTAAATGTAAAAATGGAGTTTCAATCTAAAAAGAGGTAGGTATTAAAAGCTATCTTTTAATTAATCCTCTTGGGTAAAAAAAATTTCCTTTTTTTATAAATGAATATTTTAATATTGCGAAAATAAAATGAGTAAAAGTAATTTGAGAAAGGAATATTTCTGTCATATTGAGATTTATTTCATATTTATTTAAAATATTTACCTACCATTTTATTGATTTTATATTATTTTGCAGCACATTTTATTTTAATGTGTTTAATTATTTATTAGTTTGGTATTAGTTTAGATATGAAAATATATCTGTAATCCCTGGCACTATTCATTGCGTGAATAGGAGGAGAGTTGACATGAATAAAAAAATGAGGAAAAAAAACTTCCTTTATACGTATAATAGGAACCATTTCACTTTCCAGTGAACGTGGAACCTAACAGGATCCACATTTATTCGATGTACTTGTGATAGATAACGTTATGCATACATATGTATGAACTAAGAGAGGAAGTTTCCTCGAGAGGAGGGAGAGAAGAAGTGAGAAAGAAAGTGTTAAGAAAGGAAAAGATGGAAAGAGGAGAAACCGCTGACGAAGAGGGAACCTTTATTGGACAAGCGTGGATATTCACGAGGGTATTCGGTGCTATTCTCCCTCGAATAATAGTATCGCGCACATCCGAGTAGGTGGAGAATAAGGAAAAAGAAACGAAAGGTTTTTGAATGGCCAGACAAGGGAAGCTACTTTGTGCGTCTTATATAGGAGAATCGCTCAGTAAAACTTGGTCCTCCCCTTTCCAGAGTTCATGAAAAAAAATCCATTTTGTCCCAGTCAATATTTTACTTGTAATAATTTTTAATTATTTCCAAGAATAAAGAAGAATAATTACAATCTTTTAGCTCGTTAAAATTTCTTAATGCTTTGTTTCTCAAATGGTACTCTTAATTCTGAGAATATTTCGAAAATTATTATTAGATTTATAGGAATTTTTAATAACTTTAACAGGAATGGTATTTAAATGAAATATTTTTCAGAACGTGACCACTATTAAAATAATATTTTGATTTATTATTATTACTCCCACGTCGAAAAATTCCATGGAAGTACCACCTGAAAATTCCATGGAAGTTCCATGGAAATTCAGCAAGTTTTTTATTTTAAAAATATTTTAACATTTCCAGGGTTGCCACATGTCACGGAAAAGTCAGGAATTTTTATTAAAGTACTGAAAAAAACTAAATTTAGAAGCAGTTACGAATGATTGCAGAAATTCAATTATTTTCAAAAGTAATAAAATTTTTAAAAACTTTTATTTTTTCAATAAATTATTTATTTTTGCATACTTAAATAATTGAATTCTCGTAGAATTTTTGGATGAAAATTAATTTAAAAATTAATTTCAGTTAAAATTTTACATTATAATTGAATATTAAAAGCATTATAGCATGAATTTTAAAAAATAATTAATTTTTCAATATTTTTAAAAATAATTACATTTTTTGAAGAATTTACTTAAAATTGTATTAAAAATAATTGAAATCCTGTGAAGAATTTTATTACTTAGGAAAATAGTTGAATTCTTGTAAAGAATTTTTATTATTTTTTTTTAAATAATTTAAGTCCTGTGAAGAATTTTATTATTTATGAAAATAGTTAAATTCTTGCAACGAATTTTTATTACATTTTTTTTAAATAATTGAAATCCTCTGAAGAATTGTACCTATTATTTATGAAAATAATTGAATTCTTGAAACGCATTTTATTAAATTTTTTTTAAATAATTGGATTCTTTTAAAAAATTTTATTAAAATAGCAGATTTTGAAAATATTTCAATGTGTCAGCGAAGAATTTTATTATTTGTGAAATGTAATTGAATTCTTGCAAAAAATTTTTGAAAATAATTACATTTTTCGAGGAATTTCTTTAAAACTATATTAAAAATAATTGAAAGCCAATGAAAATTTTTATTATTTATGAAAATAATTTAATTCTTACAACAAATTTTTATTAAATTTTTTTTGAAATAATTGAAATCCTGTAAAGAATTGTATTATTTATGGAAATAATTGAATAGTTACAACGAATTTTATTACATTTTTTTAAATAATTGAATCCATGTGAAAAATTTTATTACTTGTAAAAATAATTGAATTCTTGGAATAATAATAATGATTAAATATTTATTTAAAAAAGAATTTATTAATGTTTTTGAATGATTTTACTCTTGAAGAAATTAGTATCTAATTAAATGTAATAGAACAGTTTTATGAGTATCTAATCAATTTTAGAGTAAATCAAAATATTCTTTAGGGTTAGGAAAAAATGAAAAATAAAAATTGCTTTGTTGCAATTTTTTTGCCAAATGCGTATTTCATTCAAGTTTTGCAAATAAATTTCAACAAAGCTTATTATTGGACTCTAATCATAATAGAAATGTTAAAATAATATTAAAAATATAAAACTTGAAGAATTTTCACGGAATCTCCACGGAAATTCCATGGAATTTTCAGGGGGTACTTCCCTGGAATTTTTCGACGTAGGCTTGCACAGATTATATAGAAGAGAAGAGTAAAACTATATTTATTTTTTAAAAAGAATTTTTTTAATGATTTTTAAATTCCTGAAATCAGAAAACATGAAGAAAAGTGAATAGATCAAATTTGGTATTTTTTGGTAAAACAATATGCTTCCATGCGAATAAATTCAATTTCAATGTGAAGAAAACAAAAAAAATAAAAATTGTAAATGAAATAAATATAATAGTTGCAAATTAAAGGAAAATAAATGAAAAGAAAATCAAGAAAGTGCAGAAAAGAATGAAAAGAAAATAAAGAAAAATAAAAAAAGAATGTATAAAGTGAAAAATAGTAAAGACACTCATAAAAGAACAATGAAGAGTAAAGTAAATAAAATAAAGAGTTCGAGGAAGAGTTGGAGGAATATAAAAAAAAATATTCTTATCTAAAGCCATCAAAAGATAAAACGTGCTTCGAACGAAAGAGGGAGTAAATTAGGAACTTTTATGATGCTTCGATCACGTTTTATGTTCGGAACGTGAATGTTCAGCGCATCGCTCGCCAGTCTTGGATAACGTTCCTCCCCCTTCTTCCCTTCCTCGTCACTGCTATATTATATATGTATATATATATAGGAAAACGGAAGTTAGGCGAAAGTCCAAAAGAAAAACTTTTGTGGTGAGTGTTTTCCTCTCTCGTTGTCCCAGGAGAGATTCATCCGCGAGTCTTTCGTCGACAGGACAAAAGCACCACGATGAAAGAAAGCACGCGTGCAACTCAACACATCTCATGAGAAAGTCGTCGGGGAATGATATATATTTTTATATATAAGTGCTTAGATACAGAAATGCACTTCCGTTAGTCAAAATGCAGGGGAAAGAAAAACAAACATTTCCCTCTTCACTCGTGTTACAAACCACAATTGTTTGAAAATTACGAAACTTTAAAATTTTCATATTCAACCCGCAGGTTTTTTTTCCTTTTTGATATATTTCCCTCTCGTGAAGCAGTTTTAAATTATGATTTCGTTTTTCTTTTATTCAAAACAAAAAACTTGAGAAAACCATTCTTTCCAAGTCCACGTGCAAATCTTTGACAATAATTTACCATTTTCACAATAATAATTATGATGTCTGAAAAAGTATAGAAATTTTAGAATATATTTTAAAAAATTTGAAAGATATAAATTTTGTTGCCTTTAATCTCGACTGAGATGTTTTTTTCGGTTGCAAAAAAGGCATACGTAATTAGAAGGAGGACAAAGGAGGATGACATGACATGGTGGTAAGCAAGTCTCTCGACTCATCCTGCTTTTCATTTTCTGATCTCTTTCTTGTCTCGTCGTGGCTCGTCGTGGCTCGATGAAGCGAGCGAGAACGGTATGAAAAGCTATGTGAGGAACTTATCTGAAATGACATCGGTTGGACCCTCGGAAACACCAAAGGGCTTATTTCCGAAGAGGCAGGCATTGTCGCCCTTCTTTGTGACCCTGCAGGTGACCCTCTTGCACTCCACTCGAACGGCTCTTCGGTTCCACTCCCAATCCACTCGTAACCCCGCACTTATTATGTACCCACACCCACCCAGGCTCAACTACCTCTGAAAACTAAAGGGATGCAATCTAAAGGCCAGAACTCTATATTATACTTTCCATTTAGTGTCAGAGCGAATTTCTCCAGTAATTATTATTGA